ATTACAAAACAAACATTTTAATCAACGATTGTAGACAATTGACGTGCCCTACGGTTTTATTTTAGTCTAGTCTATGCATATGTTTATAATTCCCACGACTGTATCTATTTTATTATTTTTTGGTTTTTAGTACATTTATCTTAAACATTGCAATGTATGTTTAACATAAAACCGTTTAACTTAAAAAGTTTTTTTACCTATTTTTTTTATATCAAAGCGTTCCCAAATCTTACACAATTCATTGTTATAATGTATAAACAAAATGTAATTATATATAATCCAAAGATATATAGTTTCTATGTCCATGATTCATAGTTAAATACATTTTATTACATTCTAAATTAATAGGTTTCTTGTATAACGATAATTGAACTTGTTAAAATTAGCCATTGTTACATGATGTTAGAAATCAAAACAATGTATTGTCTATTCTTGCCTAAGCTTAAACAGATTTGCCTTCGTGGGTTAAATGTTTAAGTTTGAAGTCCAAAGTTTGATTTCCTTTAAAGACGCTCTTAAATTTTGGCCAGTATTAATCTTTGATTAAACGTTGGTGATGCGGAAATAGTATGAATACAAATGGAGGTGGAGGTCACGTAGTACAATAAATCTCAACCCCTGATCGAACAATTAAAAGACTAGCTTAAAACAATTATGCAATTGCACCCCCGGGTCTTCGTGATGACATAGACTAAAACTACAGATGCGCATAGATTCTTCTGTTATATTTAACGAACTACCTAAAAATATTTTATAAGCGCTAAACGTACTAAAATACAATGTTTCGTCGACAGTACAGAAAGCCAAAACGGATTACATAAATAAACATCATATATGAAACAGAAAACAAGTAAGTAGGTACATAAATAGACAAAAATGTATTTAAAAAAACTAAATAAACTGATATTTAAACATATGAAACAATAAGTAATACTTAATATTTCAAATTACTGCTTAAACAAAATCAGACTCTTCCCGCCTCTTCAAATACTTCTTCACATCTTCTTTGGTGAGGAGGAAAATATCAATATCCTCATGAAATAACTCGGTTAATATAATAATTTCTCTTAATAAATTGTAAAACTTGGCACGGGTGTCAATGACAGGTTCCCACTGTCGCACTTTGTATACCTACTTTATTGGTTTTTTTTTTAATTTAATAAAAAGATATTATCCTACTAATATCTTTACTACTACTTTACCGACTATCTTTACGACTACTTGTAGTTAATTTTGTTTTTAAGTTTTTCAATATTATTGTAATGAATGTCGACCCTTCGATGGACGGAAAAATTGCAACCAATTTGTGTTCCAATGTCACATAAGTTTCTGTATTTTTTTAATTTAAAAAAAACTAATGTATACGTTTGTTATTTATTTTTTAAATAGATAGATACATGCATTCAGATGCAAATACCTACATTCACTTATCAAACCACAGATTCTAGTATTGCTTATATCTGTATTATCAATAATCTATGATTTAAATCTAACGTGTGGAAACAGAAATCAATTATAAGCTCTATAGTATTGGGATAGCATTAGAATTCAATTGTTTTATGGCTATTACTTCAATTCTAAATTGAGTTAGTACGCTTCAGGCTGTTTAATATACTAAACAATCTTACGCTCACACGCTAAAAAGTTCCATCTCGTTCACTGAGAATTTAAGTTTTGAAAGAACAAATCTTAAAATCTCTGATACCTGTTAGCAGTAATTCTTTAAAAAAGGGTAATAATTTTAAGGTAATATCGCCCTTACTGTTACTTATTTAAGTCGACAATGCTTTAACTCCAGGTGATATTTTGTATTAATTAAGCTAAAACTGTAATATTCTTAATTCGTCTTAAATAGTCTAATAAGATACCGTAAATATATTAATATATACCAAAACGTTTGTACACTAGCTACAGGTGCTGTATAGAATTAATATAACCCACAAGAAACTTAAAATGACTGGCAAAATATAGACAAAATTGTTCATAAATATTTTTATTGGTAATATGTAATAGCAAATACATAAGCTGTATGTGCAGTGTAACAGTGTATGTTCAAGCTAAGTGGCGCATAGGATCCCGGTGGATTTGGCCGTAAGCGGCTCGGAGCCTGTTTGCTCAGCGCTCCATTAAAATGGGATCAGTCGAATGCAGATTGCCTGGACTCTGAGGAAGCCGGCTGAACTGTAAATATATTACTAAATAATTAGTTACGTCAAGCTTTTATTTATATATTGTGTCCCTAAATGACATGATAATTAACAGAAATACAACAATAGAGAGAAGAAGTATACGCTCAACTTGGGTTAAAATAGATACAAGAAAATCACACGAAAATATAACAATAGACAAAAATATATACATAATACAGTTAGAACCTTCAAGTGTAAGTTGGTGAAAGCTTGACGGGAGGTTAGGAAATTCATCAACGGTTTCGTCAAAGTATACAATCATCATAATAATATATAAAGAAAGCAAGATTTTATCTGTGTCTCGAATTTTATATCTGTGCCTACATGGCGAGGTTATATCAACAATATTGATATACGTTTGTCGCGAGCTTTCGTCCCAATAAAACTGTATCAATTGCTGATCTTTACCTACCTAAAATTTACAAAAACATGCTTAACTTTTAAAAGATCCTCCTAATTCTTAAGTTCAATAAGCGTGAGAGAAGAGCACAGATCTCCTCTTAAGAGCAAAATTGACACGTCACTGACTGTAAAGTAGCAATATAACAATAAATTCCAATTCGACGTGACAAATTGTAAAATTGCCCTTAAAGAATTATGATTTACAAGTCACAATATCGCAGTCATTAGGCCGCACTTCACTTATTTCACACATTTAAATGGGAATTAATCTGGCTTTGTGCTCGTTTAGTTACTCGGTATTGACAATATGCGCTTTGATTCATTAGTGAGGTGAATGAACGACGCATAAAGCCTTTGCATCCATCCATTCTGTCAGTGTACCTCGGTTGACCTTCGCGCTAACGAGTCATCTTAGGATAATGATCATACTCAAAGGGACTAGCGAATGACAAGGAAATAAACTTGATGCATTTATTATATTTTTTTTCTTTAGCCAGTGTTAATTAGTCGCATCTGTATTATCGAAAGGCATGGCGCTGATACCTTCTCTTTTTTTTGCTTACTAGAAAAACATTGACACATATGTTAGGGGACTTTAGAGAGATTCCAAGGCCGCTAACGTTTAAGTAGCAATATACACATACCCATGGCGCTATATACTGTATGGAAAGGACCAAGAGGAAGAAGGAGAAGAGGTCGCCCGTAAAAAAGGTGGATAGAAGAAATAGAAGCGGTAGCAGGAAACGAATGGAGAAAGAGAGCCATAGACAGAGTCAGTTGGAAATAGCTGGATGAGGCCTTTACCCGTGAAGGGGTTCCGATCGACAGTACTGAAGTAAGCTAGCATATAGGAAACCAAGCAAAAGAAAAAAAAATATAAAAATGTAAATTAATCTAAGCTGTATATTATAATTTGTTTTTGTCGTAATTGGAAATAAAACGGGCTTTATTATTATTATTATTTAATGGCGCTACCACTTTTTAGGTCTAGGCCTCAGATGTACTTATCTGTTCCGTGATCATTTCTTACAGGCAAGTCAATCAACCTTCTGTCACACACACCGTCTCCTTTTTGGGTCACGATGTTTTCACCGTATGAGTGAGTCTTAAATACGCACATAGACAGAAATTCAATTGGTGCACAATCGCGGATCGAACCTACGGTCCCAGGGATGAGTCGCACGAACCATTCGGCCAACTCTGCTATTTAATTATTATTATTATTTTAATTAGTGAAACTTCAAAGTCCATTATCTGATCCCTTGACCAATTCGCGTAATCGACAACCTACATAAAAGTAACACGAGTTTGTTCTCAATACCGTTGTTTGAATAAATCAATCGCAATTTGTCTCTTAACAGGTAGATTTTTAAAATGAGGAAATTGTTTTTCATGCAAATCTAGCTTTACACGAGCTGGAATTGAATCCACGATTCTCATAAATAATCGAGCCGGGTGCCACTGTTCTACATAAATACTGCTCAAAAACAAAAACACGGAAGTCATATTTGTATATCTTTGTATATATCATTAATGTGTTTAACACGATTAAGTCTCCATATACCACGTCGTGGACTTTCTAAGTCAAGTATATAGGGGCCTCATAGCCTAGCGGTCTTATTAAGGGGCAGGTAGCGGGTTCGATTCCCGGTTCGAGGGCAAGTTTTAATTTAATTTAAATTTGTTCTCGGAATTTGGGAGGGTTGTGCGGTACCGGGCGAGTGCCTAAAACCGCACATGTAGGCTACGGTCGAATTTCTAAAGACTAGCGCGAATTATAAAAAATCTTATACTTGACGCTGGCTAATGCACAAATCGTGCCAGAGCCATAAAAAAAAATCAAGTATAATTGTATAACACTGTGTCATACTAATACCGTTTTATCTCATTGACATACGAATAATAAAAAAGTGCGTGCGTACAAAGTACACATGTCAGCAGAGAAACTTCTTTGGCAAACTGATTTTTAAGTCTTGTTCATATTTATACAAATCTAAAACTTTAGATTTCCGAGTCTTAGAGGGAGGGAAAAAGGAAGATATGTCAGGAATTTAATGAAGTTAATTGTCATTAAAATATTAAAAGTGTCGAAAATTTATACAAATTATAAATTTCATTTTTTAAATTTATTTCTTCGATAATAAAAACACGTGGCATTTTAATTTACAATTCGTCTTTTGAGATTTCAATAAATTATTTTGCATAAAATATAAAATACTAATATTTCATAAATTCTCTTTACGAATTTTAATTTTAAAAATAGAATTTCTATAAGGTAATTCGCCTTTCTCCCTTATCTTTGACAAAAACTCTGCACATCTTCGTCACGTTACATCCGTAAAAAATTTACCCTCATGCGCCTAAAGAAGTTGCACTTCAAAATTAGATCGCTCTAAACAGTGGAATATTATGAATGACTTCGGCATTCAAAAATTTTCCACAATTTGTATTCTGTCTGGAGTATTCGCTTCGTCGGATCCCGTAGTTCCGATGCAGGTCATTTTAAATGCAAAGACGGCGGATTGCATAATCACCAATGTGATTCGGTATCGGTATTCATGTATTAAATATTTATTAAGAATGTGTCTACTGATCTAGTTAATGGTGTATTTATTGTTTTCGAAATTAAATGTAATCCTGGAAAATAAACCTTCATGGCAGTATGGCATCGTTCCACAACTGAGCGTTATTATGGTCCTTCAAGAAAATAGCGTGCGAATTTTTTATAGGCCGGCAACGCAATCGCGAGCACTCCCGAGATCCGATTTTACCGTTGATCGGAAGCCCTTCATGAGTAAACGCCTTCTCTAGCTTTTTTACAAATATATCTATGGCTTTCTTTTTCCATTCGCTTCCTGCTAACGCTTCTATTACTTCTATTCACCTTTTTAGGGGTGCCCTCTTCTCCTTCTTCCCCTTAGTCCTTTCCAGAACGTATTATTAATTACCTTGATTACCGGTCATCAACCTAGATTAACTCAAGATTAAATAACAGAATCTGACGTCAGCATCATTAATTTACAATTCCCGAGAAAACTGGAACTTATCAATTTTTTTATTCAGTAGCGAACATCGATTCGATTTTAATACAAAGACAGATCGGGCATTAATTAACTCGGCTTGATGAGTTCGTGGCGTCCCTCGGCCAAGTCATTACGGCTATATGTTGAGGCGAGATGTTTTTTTAATTCGTTATTATTCTCTGGCGTAAAGAAATGTTAATTCGAGGCGGCGTGAAATTAACAGCCGCCGCTTGCCTTTGTGGAGACGGCGGCTGACTTAAACACACAACGGGTGACGAGCTTTCATACTACACTCTTATTTGCAGTTCATTTAGATTTTTTTATTAGATTTGATATGCGAGTTGCTTTTAAACAACAATTTATGTTTGTGCTCTGCGTTTACACATTAGACATGCATAAAAAAAATTCACGGATTCTTTATAAAATTTACGCTATTAATAGCTCAACACAATAGTTTCGTTCTGTTGTAGAAAACTAATATGAATGGTAACAATTTCAGTGGTACCAAGTAGACAAGAGCAAGCTATCGCCTGATCTTCAAGAGAAGTTCGTGCAGCTGCATCCAGATAAGGAGACACAGGAGTTCCTTTCCACCTCCATCGACAAGTCTTCCTGGGTCTGGACCCAGCTCTGGTACATCCTAGCCAAGTCCTTCTTGAGACACTTCTGGACTACAACAGACATCAATGGGTAAGTGATTATACAAATTAACAGAAGACTTTAAACCACGATATCTGGACTGTTATAAATGCAAAAATCGTCGTGTTTCAGTTTAGATTTTTGAACTTTGATTGGCGAAGGATTTATCTTTATTTCTTCAAAAAAACTTTATAATTGCAAGTACGCGCCCCTCGAAAAGGTGTTTTGTTTCAGCCTTTTATTCGTATTCCTCTTCTTCTTCTGGTGCCACTTTTTAGCTAAAGGTTAGCTGTTAACAACTTGAAATGCCGGGTATCTTGGGATGTGATCCCGGTCCACTTCAGCCCGTCTCTTGCCTTGAACTGTTCCCATCAATATAAGCTGCAACAAGTCGTATCGATTATGACGCAAAACGTGTCCGAGATATGCGACTTTCCGTATTTTAACAGTCTCCATAAAGTTTTGTGTCGTCCGGATTATGCATACAACATTTCCGTTATAATTTTTATTATATTATTTTATATAGAAATCAACCTTTTTAAAATTTATATGTAATATGATTATAATTTAGATTTATCGGATCTTCGTATTAATATGACCTGTATTTTAAAACTGACGAATGATTTCTTTCACAAACGATGAATTGCCATTTGAATCACGACAATGGGCCATTATTAAGTTCGTCCAGATTCGTCCAATTACGCCAATTACAAAGCCTGTAGTATATTTATGTATGAGTGTATTATTTCCTCATCCATTGTGTCGTATCTGCACAAATTAACTAATTCCAGTCGCCACTAGTGTTGCCATCGTCATATCGATAATTAATCAAATTCCTTGCTTGCTTGAACGATGGTTCTTATTAAATTCTATGTTTAGGAGCGTATTGTAGCTCGAATTGGTTTGCTGTTATACAATATATTGTGTAAGAAAGCTTAGGTTTTGTTGATTTATATGAAAGACCGGTTGGCGACTTGAACAGAGATTTTATATATTCTTCTACTTATTGAGGTATTTTCTATTGAACATACCAGTATTATAGCCTATACCTTGCAAGCGATCTTCATCCCAAAAGGGCGTGCGATCAAATCTGGGCTACGCACCAATGGACTTTTTGAACAAAAGGCTGATCTCCGATTTGTCTACAAAATAAACGTTATCAAAGAAACGTATGCGCACTGAGGCCAATGCTCATTTAAGGTTGTAGCGCTGAAGTGCTGCCCACTCAAGTATTTCCGAACCACTTCGACTTAGGGTCTTTCAAGAAAAAAGCGTACCAATTCTTGGAATGGTTGGAAACTTGCGAGCTCTCTACCATTGAGACATACGCCGTGGTACCACTTAATCGCCACTGGATTATTATAACTATACCTATGTATATGTTTCTTTACCTCTTATTTAAATTACTTAAATTTTGCGTATTTTTACTATAAGCATCGATAACTTTTGAGGTTATATCGATAGTTAATTAGTATGGTACAACACTAGTATCCGGAGTGGTCTGTGAACGTTATAAAGATCGCCGTGCGGGTGTCTATAGCAGACCACTAATAAATAATTTAAACAAATTGACGGATGAGATTTACTCATTGACTGCTTCCGTCTCTCAATTACGAACGCTTTATTTATCACTTGGTGCTGATCGGCCTGAGCTCGCCGCAGTGCAACTGCAAAGAGAAGTATTAGCACCTCTTACATGTTACCCAAATTAAAAAAAAAGTGGCGCTACAACCTTCTAGGTCGTATCTGTTCCGTGATAATTTCTAATAGGCAATCCGTCAGGTAATAAGTAGGTAATCCGTCTTCGGTGCTCACACACGCCGTCGACTTTTTAGTTCTAAGGCATGCCGGTTTCCTCCACCATGTTTTCCTTCGTCGTACCAATGCGACTTAGGGTCCTTGAAGAAAAGAGCGTACCAATTCTTAAAAGGCCGACAACGCACCGGGGTTGGAACCTTCGACATCAGGGATAAGAGTCGAAAGCTTGAGCCATCACTGATTAAGCTTGAAAACCCATAGCATTAAAGGACAATTTGCTTTCCAAAGAAAAACAAAAAACTAAAATCTATTGTAGTCGTCTATATAAAAATACCCAAAATTAAAAAAAAAACCTTAGTGTAGTATGAAGTCTTTAAGGGTATTCAGAATCGAGACTTAACACGAACTATGACTCGTACGTCAAAATCCAATACATTTCTAATATGCGGGAGTCATACTCGACTCTTCTTGACTAAGAATCTTACCCTAAGGTCGTTTCTCCACTGCTCCGGTCCGGCAAACGCCAAAACCCCCCCCCCCCCACCCCCCCACCCCACCACCAAGGGGGGAGAGGGGAGGGGGGGAGGGGGGGGGGGGGGGGGGGGGGGGGGGGGGGGGGGGGGGGGGGGGGGGGGGGGGGGGGGGGGGGGGGGGGGGGGGGGGGGGGGGGGGGGGGGGGGGGGGGGGGGGGGGGGGGGGGGGGGGGGGGGGGGGGGGGGGGGGGGGGGGGGGGGGGGGGGGGGGGGGGGGGGGGGGGGGGGGGGGGGGGGGGGGGGGGGGGGGGGGGGGGGGGGGGG